ACCTCGACGCTCTTTTGGTTCCAAATTTTCACATCAGAAGGCGGGCTGTAAGATGAACCTACAAAGGAATTATCCTCGTAGAGGACAACCCCATTCAAGTTGCAAAAAAAATCCTCACAGTGTAGTAAGATGGTGATGGTGGACCCTCTTCTATCTTCTCCTGGTCACATTTGAGACCTCTATTGCAGCACAGAGGTTCCAGTCAAAAGGGGCTTATTCTATATATCTTCATTTTGTGGATTGGACTTTTTAGCCCTCATGCACACGGGACGTTTTTACAGCGGCTGTTTTTGGCGTTTTTTTTTTTTTTTTTCTACAGTCAACAAACTCCCCAGCATGTTATCCTAGGTGTCCATACACACATAGACTGGAATAAACGTTTTTTTTGGCTGGGACTTTTTTTGGCTGGAAAAAAACCCAAAACTAATGGGTTTCTAGAGGAGTTTTTCAGCTGTAATAACGCTCTAACACTAAAAAAAGCGGTAAAACGCTGCAGACCAGCGACTCAGACTCTACACAGTGAGCTGATACCCCCTATCCAACCCCATGGCAAGCAGAGGGTTAAATGCCCCTCCAAGATGCCCCAGCTTTCCAGGAAAAAAGCTTTCCTGTGCGCTGCCACTGGGGGACCATTCGAGGGCGCCGCAGGTGCAAGCAGCCACACAGCTAGAGTGGGCTATTTAAACCTGTGAGGCCCAGTGAAAAGTGGGACTGTGTGATGGAACCTGGCCTTGAAGGAGTTAAACTAGTTACAGGACTCTAGGTGGCTAAAATGTAAGTTTTGGCTGTGAAGTAGTTAAATGTCCACTTTGGACTGAATGGACAAGTAGGTTACTTGTTGGGGAAGGATGGGGGAGGGGGAAAGAATCCAAAATCTGGCTTTTAACAAACCCCACCTCCTCTGGGGTATGCGCCTTAGCTGTCTATAGGAACAGGCTAAACTTATTTTTTTTTAAATTTTGAGAAAAAAAATATATTTTTGCGAGGAAATCCTATGTATAAATATTTATTTTTGCACCTGCATCGCTTTTTCCATTTGTTATATTTGTATAAAGATCGTATTTACATTTATTTTAAATAAACACCATGGTACAGTAAAAAAAAAAAAAAAAAAAAAACGCAGCAAACAGGCGTTTTTGGACTTTTTTGACAAAACCCTTTTTTTTTTTTTTTGTGAGAAAAAAAAAAGGCAAATGCAGAAAACGCAGCTAATTGCGGTAAAACGCCTCAAACCGCTGTTTTTGGACCCAAAAAAAATTTTTGGTCAAGAAAACCACTTAAAACACAAACGCAGGGAAACTCCGCTAAACGCTAATGCAAAACCGCTAAAAAAACCCTGACCAGCATTATCAAAACGTCCCCCCAGTGTGCATGAGGGCTAAAGTTCAAAAATGTTTTGAATCGCCGCGCTTTTGTATAACATATCACATGATGATCAGCCTTCCGCGGCCTCTTCTGCACATCTACCGTATTTGCCGGCGTATAAGACGACCCCCCTACTTTTCCTGTTAAAATATAGGGTTTGAGCTATACTCGCCGTATAAGACTACCCCTCTTCCAACGCGCCCCATCATTGGTGTCAGTGGGGAGGAGGAATAGTGCCCCATCGTTGGTGTCAGTGGGGGGAGGAATAGTGCCCCATCGTTGGTGTCAGTGGGGAGGAGGAATAGTGCCCCATCGTTGGTGTCAGTGGGGGGAGGAATAGTGCCCCATCGTTGGTGTCAGTGGGGAGGAGGAATAGTGCCCCATCATTGGTGTCAGTGGGGGGAGGAATAGTGCCCCATCGTTGGTGTCAGTGGGGAGGAGGAATAGTGCCCCATCATTGGTGTCAGTGGGGAGGAGGAATAGTGCCCCATCATTGGTGTCAGTGGGGGAGGAATAGTGCCCCATCATTGGTATCAGTGGGGGAGGAATAGTGCCCCATCATTGGTATCAGTGGGGAGGAGGAATAGTGCCCCATCATTGGTGTCAGTGGGGAGGAGGAATAGTGCCCCATCATTGGTGTCAGTGGGGAGGAAGAATAGTGCCCCATCATTGGTGTCAGTGGGGGAGGAATAGTGCCCCATCATTGGTATCAGTGGGGAGAAAAGTGCCCCATCATTGGTGTCAGTGGGGAGGAGGAATAGTGCCCCATCATTGGTGTCAGTGGGGAGGAATAGTGCCCCATCATTGGTGTCAGTGGGGGAGGAATAGTGCCCCATTGTTGGTGTCAGTGGGGGAGGAATAGTGCCCCATTGTTGGTGTCAGTGGGGGAGGAATAGTGCCCCATTGTTGGTGTCAGTGGGGGAGGAATAGTGCCCCATTGTTGGTGTCAGTGGGGGAGGAATAGTGCCCCATCGTTGGTGTCAGTGGGGGAGGAATGGTGCCCCATCATTGGTGTCAGTGGGGGAGGAATAGTGCCCCATCATTGGTATCAGTGGGGAGAAAAGTGCCCCATCATTGGTGTCAGTGGGGAGGAGGAATAGTGCCCCATCGTTGGTGTCAGTGGGGGAGGAACAGTACCTCATCGTTGGTGTCAGTGTGGAGGAGGAATAGTGCCCCATCGTTAGTGTCAGTGGGGGAGAGGAGCGGCTGCTCCTTCTTTCAGTTCGGCCGCTTGATTTTCGCGGGGCCGTTCGGCTCCGCCTCCTCGCCGGTGATTGGTCGCCTGTGTGCCTTTCCAGTGCTGGCGCCCAATCACCGGTGAGGAGGCGGAGCCGAGCGGCCGGCGGGACCATCGAGCGGCCGAACTGAAAGAAGGAGCAGCCGCGCTTCCTGGACCGGATCGTCGTGGGACCGGGACCGGAGCCAGGTAAGGTACAGCAGCCCCTCTGCCCACCCCTGTACTTGGTGTCCGTTGGAGGAGGAGGGGGGGCGGCGGCGCCGCCCCTCGAAAAAGTGCCGCCCTGACACCGGCTCGCCGTATACCGGCGTATAAGACGACCCCCGACTTTTCAAAAGATTTTCACGGGTTGAAAAGTCGTCCTATACGCCGGCAAATACGTTAATCCTGATGTTTCCTGTCTCCTCAGCTCACCCTCTACACTTACAATTGGTCTCCAGACTTGGGGGCGTCTCTCAGTCGCTCGCTGGTGCGTTTGATCCAATGGCAGAACGCACGGTCACACGTGGTGCACTGTCTCCTGAATCAGAAGATGGGGCTGTTCCATCATTACTGCTTCACCGACACACCGATGCACGAGGACAACAAACAGGTAAAAAAAAAAAACAGGTGGAAAAAAATTATATAAGTTGCCATACGAAATCGAATTCCTGCTGGGAATATTTTGGTTTTTTTTTTGTTTTATTTTTTTTTTCAATACCAGACACTTTCACTCCATTCCAGGCCAATTTTCAGCTTTCAGCGCGGTCATACTGTCAAATACTCAGTCATGCAACACTGTACCCAAATTATTTTTATATCCACCTTTTTGTTTTTGACAGGCAGAGCTTTCTTTTGGTGGTATTTATTAAGGGGTTTTTTTTCTTTTTTCTTTTTTTTTTTGTTTGTTCTATAAACGAAAAATAAGGAACATTTTGAAAAAAAAACACTTTTTGTTCGTTTCTCTAATAAAAATTTTCAAATACATAATCCTTTAGAAATTTAGGCCAAAATGTATTCTGCTACATTTCTTTAACCCCTTCCAGTCCGGACGCTTCCCCCCCTTCCAGTCCGGGGGCTTCCCCCCCTTCCAGTCCGGGGGCTTCCCCCCCTTCCAGTCCGGGGGCTTTCCCCCCCTTCCAGTCCGGGGGCTTTCCCCCCCTTCCAGTCCGGGGGCTTCCCCCCCCTTCCAGTCCGGGGGCTTTCCCCCCCCTTCCAGTCCGGACGCTTTCCCCCCCTTCCAGTCTGGACGCTTTCCCCCCCCTTCCAGTCTGGACGCTTCCCCCCCCCCCTCCAGTCTGGACGCTTTCCCCCCCCTTCCAGTCTGGACGCTTTCCCCCCCCTTCCAGTCTGGACGCTTTCCCCCCCCTTCCAGTCTGGACGCTTTCCCCCCCCTTCCAGTCTGGACGCTTTCCCCCCCCTTCCAGTCTGGACGCTTTCCCCCCCCTTCCAGTCTGGACGCTTTCCCCCCCCTTCCAGTCTGGACGCTTTCCCCCCCCCTTCCAGTCTGGACGCTTTCCCCCCCCTTCCAGTCTGGACGCTTTCCCCCCCCTTCCAGTCTGGACGCTTTCCCCCCCCTTCCAGTCTGGACGCTTTCCCCCCCCCTTCCAGTCCGGACGCTTCCCCCCCCCCTTCCAGTCCGGACGCTTCCCCCCCCCCTTCCAGTCCGGACGCTTCCCCCCCCTTCCAGTCCGGACGCTTTCCCCCCTTCCTGTCCAGGCCAATTTTCAGCTTTCAGCGCTATCACACTTTGAATGACAATTGCGCGGTCATGCAACACTGCACACATATGGATTTTTTAGCATTTTTTTGAAACAGATAAAGCTTTATTTTGGTGGTATTTATTTACCGCTGGGATTTTTATTTTTTTTTGCTATGTAAATGAAAAAGTCCAAACATTTTGAAAAAAAGTTTTTCTTATAAAATTTTGCAAATAAATAGTATTTTGTCATAAATCTTGGCCAAAATGTATTCCGTTTTTATCTTTTAAATAATAAAAAAAAAAAACCCAAACTAGTTTATAACCACAATTATCATTTTTAAACATTTTTTTCCTTTTTTTTTTTTTTTTTTTGTGTTTTTTTTTTTTTTTTTTTTTACATACTGTCACCCTAGAAGTACAGTGTCACCATGGCGACACTGTACTACTTGTGGGGGGTGATGAAGATTTTTTTTTTTTTTTTTTTTTTTTTACACTGATTGCTTTTACACCCATAAAGGCTGTAAAAGCAATCATTTCTCCTTCTTTCTGACTGCATTCTTGCAGCCATTGAGAACTACAGTGTGAGCTGTGATTGGTCACAGCCTGTCACATGGTAAAAGGCTGTTGTGAATAGCCCTGTACCATGTGATCTCTGTGATCATTCACAGATTTCACACGTAGTAAGCAATGATGTCAGAAGTGACATCTTGCTTACTACTCTGCATGTGATCACTGATTGGCCAATCAGTGATCACTTGATCGGGACCTCGTACAGAGGTCCTGTACAACAATCAGTGTTCCA